TAAGTAATTCTTCTAACAAATTTAAAAATAATATTTTACTAAGCTTTTATTAACATTACCATTAATAGATGCTACATGTATTAAGTTACAACACTAATATTTAAAAAATATAATGAAAACAAAGGTATCTAAAATTTGAACATCTTTTTAACCATCGCATTAACTTTAGTATTGGTCTCGACTAATTTAATGGAATTCAATTTCAGTTTTTCCAAAGCAGCTTTGTTATTGGGGTCGTTTTGTAAAAGTTTCAAAAAACTTTTGTGCGCCTTTTCATAATCATGAGTTTCATACCACGATACGCCATATTTATAAAGAGCCTTAACGTTATTCTCATTAATATTAAAAATCTTTTCACACAAAGTAATTACGGTCTCATAATCTTGGTGTTTAAGATAACAAGAAGCGAGATTATTATATAAAATTGCTTTTAAATTTTCTATTTCAAACACTTTTACTCCGTCTTTTTCTTCAGGGGGATTATCGACTTCTATTGGAATCGAACATAAGATTTTTAAACCTTTTCCAAAACGATAAGAAGCATCAATGTACTTGTTAACCCTGTACAATTCATTTCCGGCTTCCTTATGTCGTACAGCCCGTTCACACTTATTCTGAGCATCCCATTCATAAATAAAACCGTGAGAAACGTAACTTACTAAACGGAGTACAAATGATATTTCATTTTCAAACTTGAAAGTAACCTTGGACGCTTCTCCAATACTCATAGTTTCAAGGACAACATCGAGAGCCCTTTCAAAGTCAGTGATACTTTCTCCAATTATAAACAGACGCCTATTATATTCATTAACATCAAAGTCTTTAACTGAACAATTTTCTATACTAATTCTACATTCACTAGCCTCAGTTGGTTTTAAACCTGCAGATCCTTTTTTTAAAACTTCTTTAAGTATTTGATTATCTGGAGACACCCAAACATTATCGACAACCATTTTAGCAATCAGATTCTGTTGTGAAAATGTCAGACAGTAATTGCATAGTTAAATCATAATATTCTTCTGCTAAACTGTCGTTTAGAGCTATAGAACTGGGCAAAGCCAGTTTACAATCACTAATGTACTGTCCTGTTGAACGATTTGAAGTTAATAATGAATGTAATAAAGACTGGGCACCCTGATGAGGTCTTTTGACAACAATGGTTCGCACAGGCCACTGCAGAGCATACAGAAATGGATTGCACAGTGGCGGAAAATATCTATAAATTGCTGTTTCTACATTTCCAGGATTTACTGCATTCACGAGTATATTAGTATCTAAAAAGTGAAATAATTAATTTTACAAATATGGACCAGGTACTGCAGTTTTTTAATACAGTTTTTTAATAGTCAAATGCATAGGATTTTAGTAATTAAAATTTTGCAAAATCAAAATGCATGAAATAATTACCAACAACAAGTAATAATCAATTCTCATAAAGTAAAAAGAGAACATTCTGTATAAACATGAAAATGTCATTTCACTTCAAAAAATTAAGTTATTTGTGTTTCAAAATCTTAACACTTTTTCAAATCCTCTATAGTCTGTAGTATATATTTAGTTAAAGCATTTTTTATAAGAAATTTTAATAAAAAGGATAATACTTACTACTAACATGGATTTTGGTTCTGGTAACTCATTACCACTATATATTTGAATATATGATTTGAAATATTGCACAAGGTCCCTGGACTTAACTTTTTGACCATTTATTTTTTTCAAAACTAAGTTTTCTGGTGATAACAACATTGGCACAAGTATTTGTAAGTATTTTTTAAATTCCGAATCGATTTCTGTAAAAATAAAATATGCATATCATTTAAATTATTTAAATAGCCCTATTTCTGAATACCAGATAGTCGTCCATCAAAAGTGGGACTGGTAGCAACTTTAAGACCAGGATGTGGCATCAAGAAGCATGCAATCTCTGTAAAACAGGACTTTATATGTTTCCTTAATGACTGCAGTTCTGGATGTTGTTTGTCATTTAATTGCAGTCTACGATCAAGAATCTTTTTGCCACCAATTGCACCATATTCTGCTTCATATGGAAAACTCCAGTCCCTCACCAAAAATTGCAATCTTTGGAAGGGAGCCTTACCAGTGTCTGCTAAAGCTAACCTACCATATTCTGTGAACAACTGAATAACATTTATAGAGACTAACATTTTTATAAACAGAAGTCTTGAGAACACTTTTTTAACCAAAATCTTAAATGCTCCCTAAGCACACACCTGTAAATGTTGCAAGTCGTCTTCTTGAATATTTTGGGATAAGTTATATATTTCGACAGAGCTAACCATTGTACTTAATGCGAAAACTGTTGCACAATCTTTGACAGTGCTCTCACTATCAAAAGCACCTTGTGTGTCTAGTAAAATTACTGCTACCTGAAATTTTTTTGTTATTTTTCATGTAATCCTTTTCTTATAATTTACCTTTTCTCCTGTGTACAATTCTGTTAAAAAAACTTCAGACCACATTAATATACCTGTTGTCTCCCTTTCTGAACCACCACGCCACGAAAAGCCTGTCAAGGGAACATTGGGAGACCCTAGCCATTCTGATGAATTTTGCTTCAATAGATACTAAAAGAAATATAATCAATAAATAATGCTATTCCCCCAATTTTTAAATGTACTTACTCTTGAGTTCATAAACCGAAGAAAAAAATCAAGTAGAAACGATTTTCCTTTTCTGAATGCTCCTGCAACTGACACCACAGACACGTATCTGTCTTTGATTTCATCTCTTAGTAAAATTGATTCTAATGCTTTTTCGTCTAAGGTAAAGGAATGGTTTGCATTGTCTGCTAAAATTATTGGCACTGCATGTGGTTCCATATTTGTAGTGATGGTGTCTAAAATAAAAAAAATTCAATAAAAAAAACTGACTACTTTGGAGTAAAGATCAAGGATAATAAATAAAACATGAATAAAGTAATTACAGTTTCATTACTCACTCTTGAAGTTAATGTTTAACTGATATTTTCTATACAGGTTGTTTTCTTTTTTTGTTAAATAATGGAGTTATTTATGAGCAAATAAAACATCTAATTACTATTGAAAATGCAACACCAAAAAACACACAAATTGAAGTTTCATGACCCGATATTTCAATGTTATAGTACACTTACTAGTAGTTATGACATTTGTGTAAAAATTCCATTACGTTGTTTACTAAGAAATAAAATATTCGCAACAATTTTATCATAAATTAATAAAGAAACCTTTAGGGCTGTTTAACTAGAACAATTTTTANATGTCCTCAGCAAACTTAATTATACTAGAAAATGATTGAAGATTTAACTGTTTCACAAATATTTTTGCATTGTTGCTATTATATTTCTTCAATTTGTTTTTTAATTGGTTGCCTTTTTCAAGATCTCTACATGCCAAAACTAATGAGGCTCCTACAACAATTTTATGTTACTAAAACTAAATAATAAAAATTAATCAATTAAATGTACACACCTCTTTCAACTAACAAAAAAGATAAAGCTTTACCAATTCCAGATGTAGGGCCTGTTATTATAATGACTAATCCATCTAATCTTGTAGTACAACGACAAATTCCTCCATAAAAGTACCTGCTAAAATTTTATTATTGCAACCATCTTTTCAATCTTTATATTCACCAAGTATTCACTTACTAAATACCATAAAGGGCAGCACCTGTAAGTACTGTAGAGGCAAGGTATTTTATCATTTGTAAACAATTAACAATTTAGGACAATAATTAGAAAATAGAGTAACAGGAAACACTTTAATACTTTTGTGGACATTTGATTTCTAAAGTGGCATCTATGGAAGAATAAATATTTACCTCTGACGAAAATACAGGTAAATTGAAAGTTTATTGCAATATTTACCTACTTTTAATTTAACGTTTTCATTATATATAAAATTGTAAAATACTTACAAGCATTACAACAGGCAGCTGTTTAATAATAATAATAATATATTCACATATAAATTCACCAAATTCATCGTTATTACATGTACTTACTTTGTTAATAAATAATGATCATAAGAACAAGTTCATCGATACTATACAGGCTTTTTGTGAAAATATGTTTAAAACATAAATAACTTTTTTTATTTCCTACAGTCCGATGCTAAATTTTTTTTATATAAATTAGCTTCTGTTCCTACTTCCAACTCTCCTCCCTAGCCTGAGGCCAGAGACACAATTTTAGTTATTCTTATATTCAGGGTCATGGCCCAGGGCCGTAATAAGAATATACAACATGTACAAGTTAATAATTGGTAATTTAAAAATAGTTGTATTAATAATTTTTATTCAAGACGTATTCGAATTAATGTTTTCTGATTTTAGAATTGTTTCAGACTTTTCTGTGAGCTTGAATACATAACTAAATCTCGACAAAACAAACAAAAGTTCCAACCTGTTTCAAAAACATCAAACATTAACTATTAACCACACTTTAAATTCAAATATTGTGATTAAAAAAATGGATAAACCCTCGCAAAGAGAATTATATTTTTTTCACAATAATATGGTCTGCTTAGTAAAATCTTTGGAAAATCATTATACAGTTGTAGACTTAAGGAACGAAGATAGTGTCTACGGAAAAATTTTAAATGTCGATGGTTATATGAATATAGAGTTTGAAAATGCTATTTATTGTGATTCAAGAGGTAATTTCTTGTTCAGTTATTTTGTGTTATACATGTTCTATTTTGTAGGTATTAAATATCCATTTGAAATGTTTTTTGTACAAGCTAGAAATATTCGCTATGTTCACATCCCTAAAAATTTTGATGCAGTTAATCTAGTTCAAGAGCAGTTAAAGAGCATACAAAAGCAAAAGTCTACACAACGACCAACTAGGACCTTTAAAACTCGTAGAGCAGAAAAATATCAAAAAGATATTCTTCAGGGACTTGCACAAGCAAGTAACAGTAAACAGTGTTGAACTTCTTTGTATGGACATTATATATAATAAAAAAAAATAATAAATTTGAAGAACTTTTATTTCAGTATTCTTTAAAAGGTACAAAAACCTTAAATATAGAAAATATCGAAATTAATTAGAAATGCCCTCTTTGTCTTAAATTTTTGTTTCAACATAAATTTGCATACCACCTCGAAGCCTCAATACCAAATGTAATGTAGATTCCTTCTGAATATTATAATCTGAAAGGGTTCGTCCATCTTCCAACTGTTTCCCGGCAAAAATAAGACGTTGTTGATCTGGTGGGATACCTTCCTTGTCTTGAATTTTGGCTTTGACGTTTTCTATTGTATCAGATGGCTCTACTTCAAGGGTTATAGTTTTACCAGTTAATGTTTTGACGAAGATTTGCATACCACCTCTGAGACGCAAAACTAAATGCAGAGTCGATTCTTTTTGAATATTGTAGTCAGAAAGGGTGCGACCATCTTCTAACTGCTTCCCAGCAAAAATTAGACGTTGTTGGTCTGGAGGAATACCTTCCTTGTCTTGAATTTTAGCTTTAACGTTTTCAATTGTATCAGATGGCTCAACTTCTAGAGTGATGGTCTTTCCAGTAAGAGTCTTTACAAAGATCTGCATTCCTCCTCTCAATCTGAGTACCAAATGGAGAGTGGATTCTTTTTGAATATTATAATCGGAGAGGGTACGACCATCTTCCAGTTGTTTTCCTGCAAAGATTAACCTCTGCTGATCTGGTGGAATGCCTTCTTTGTCTTGAATTTTTGCTTTAACATTCTCAATTGTATCTGATGGTTCAACTTCTAAAGTGATCGTTTTACCAGTGAGGGTCTTCACGAAAATTTGCATACCTCCTCTAAGACGCAAAACTAAATGAAGGGTGGATTCTTTCTGGATGTTGTAATCAGACAATGTCCTACCATCTTCAAGCTGCTTGCCAGCAAAAATTAATCTTTGTTGGTCTGGTGGAATACCCTCTTTATCTTGAATTTTAGCCTTTACGTTCTCTATTGTGTCAGACGGTTCTACCTCAAGGGTGATTGTTTTACCAGTTAGTGTCTTAACAAAAATCTGCATTCCACCTCTAAGACGTAAAACCAAATGGAGGGTACTTTCTTTCTGGATGTTGTAATCAGACAATGTTCTACCATCTTCCAATTGCTTACCAGCAAAAATCAAACGTTGTTGGTCTGGAGGAATACCTTCTTTGTCCTGGATCTTGGCCTTCACATTTTCAATTGTGTCTGACGGTTCTACTTCCAGTGTGATGGTTTTTCCAGTTAGTGTCTTAACAAAAATCTGCATTCCACCTCTAAGACGTAAAACCAAATGGAGGGTACTCTCTTTCTGAATGTTGTAATCAGACAAAGTTCTACCATCTTCCAATTGTTTACCGGCAAAAATCAAACGTTGCTGGTCTGGAGGAATACCTTCTTTGTCCTGGATCTTAGCCTTCACGTTTTCAATTGTGTCTGATGGTTCTACTTCCAGTGTGATGGTTTTTCCAGTTAACGTTTTAACAAAAATTTGCATGCCTCCACGAAGATACAGGCTTTTTGTGAAAATATGTTTAAAACATAAATAACTTTTTTTATTTCCTACAGTCCGATGCTAAATTTTTTTTATATAAATTAGCTTCTGTTCCTACTTCCAACTCTCCTCCCTAGCCTGAGGCCAGAGACACAATTTTAGTTATTCTTATATTCAGGGTCATGGCCCAGGGCCGTAATAAGAATATACAACATGTACAAGTTAATAATTGGTAATTTAAAAATAGTTGTATTAATAATTTTTATTCAAGACGTATTCGAATTAATGTTTTCTGATTTTAGAATTGTTTCAGACTTTTCTGTGAGCTTGAATACATAACTAAATCTCGACAAAACAAACAAAAGTTCCAACCTGTTTCAAAAACATCAAACATTAACTATTAACCACACTTTAAATTCAAATATTGTGATTAAAAAAATGGATAAACCCTCGCAAAGAGAATTATATTTTTTTCACAATAATATGGTCTGCTTAGTAAAATCTTTGGAAAATCATTATACAGTTGTAGACTTAAGGAACGAAGATAGTGTCTACGGAAAAATTTTAAATGTCGATGGTTATATGAATATAGAGTTTGAAAATGCTATTTATTGTGATTCAAGAGGTAATTTCTTGTTCAGTTATTTTGTGTTATACATGTTCTATTTTGTAGGTATTAAATATCCATTTGAAATGTTTTTTGTACAAGCTAGAAATATTCGCTATGTTCACATCCCTAAAAATTTTGATGCAGTTAATCTAGTTCAAGAGCAGTTAAAGAGCATACAAAAGCAAAAGTCTACACAACGACCAACTAGGACCTTTAAAACTCGTAGAGCAGAAAAATATCAAAAAGATATTCTTCAGGGACTTGCACAAGCAAGTAACAGTAAACAGTGTTGAACTTCTTTGTATGGACATTATATATAATAAAAAAAAATAATAAATTTGAAGAACTTTTATTTCAGTATTCTTTAAAAGGTACAAAAACCTTAAATATAGAAAATATCGAAATTAATTAGAAATGCCCTCTTTGTCTTAAATTTTTGTTTCAACATAAATNGTTATTTTGTAGTGTAGTGTGCTTGCTTTGTGTGTCAGTTATAGTAATTATTTAATATTGAATATTTTGTATAAAAGGTTTATACTTGTTAACAAATAAATAAGTAAATATAAAGAAGATGATATATCCAGAAGTTATCTTGGTCAATCTTTGAAACTATGTAATTTTAAACATGCATAGGTACTACTTAAAATACTTTCTGTATATCTTATGTTAAAGGATTGATAACTGAGAAATTATACTGTTGTGGATTAGTTATAATAAAAAATATATTTACTTTTTAGCTTTTTAGCAAGTTGTCGACTGAACAGCACTAGTGCAAGCTTAGATACCCCATAAGCTTTATAGTGGGTTCGAAAATCAGTTTGACACTTGGTGATAGCTTTTAAATCATATACATTTACTGTCCTATGAGCTTCAGATGCAACATTAACAACACGTGCATGATCGGATTTTTTTAGCGTTTTCAGCAAATGATGTGTTAAGACAAATGGTCCTGAAAACAAATGAAATACTTATCTTAAAGAACACAATACAACCTTAACACCTACCAAGATAATTTACTTGGAATGTAATATCAAAACCATCTTCAGTTAGTTTTTGCTCATGAAAAAATACACCTGCATTATTTACCAAGGCATATATTTCATTAAAAGTTGAATTAATGTCCTCAGCAAACTTAATTATACTAGAAAATGATTGAAGATTTAACTGTTTCACAAATATTTTTGCATTGTTGCTATTATATTTCTTCAATTTGTTTTTTAATTGGTTGCCTTTTTCAAGATCTCTACATGCCAAAACTAATGAGGCTCCTACAACAATTTTATGTTACTAAAACTAAATAATAAAAATTAATCAATTAAATGTACACACCTCTTTCAACTAACAAAAAAGATAAAGCTTTACCAATTCCAGATGTAGGGCCTGTTATTATAATGACTAATCCATCTAATCTTGTAGTACAACGACAAATTCCTCCATAAAAGTACCTGCTAAAATTTTATTATTGCAACCATCTTTTCAATCTTTATATTCACCAAGTATTCACTTACTAAATACCATAAAGGGCAGCACCTGTAAGTACTGTAGAGGCAAGGTATTTTATCATTTGTAAACAATTAACAATTTAGGACAATAATTAGAAAATAGAGTAACAGGAAACACTTTAATACTTTTGTGGACATTTGATTTCTAAAGTGGCATCTATGGAAGAATAAATATTTACCTCTGACGAAAATACAGGTAAATTGAAAGTTTATTGCAATATTTACCTACTTTTAATTTAACGTTTTCATTATATATAAAATTGTAAAATACTTACAAGCATTACAACAGGCAGCTGTTTAATAATAATAATAATATATTCACATATAAATTCACCAAATTCATCGTTATTACATGTACTTACTTTGTTAATAAATAATGATCATAAGAACAAGTTCATCGATACTATACAGGCTTTTTGTGAAAATATGTTTAAAACATAAATAACTTTTTTTATTTCCTACAGTCCGATGCTAAATTTTTTTTATATAAATTAGCTTCTGTTCCTACTTCCAACTCTCCTCCCTAGCCTGAGGCCAGAGACACAATTTTAGTTATTCTTATATTCAGGGTCATGGCCCAGGGCCGTAATAAGAATATACAACATGTACAAGTTAATAATTGGTAATTTAAAAATAGTTGTATTAATAATTTTTATTCAAGACGTATTCGAATTAATGTTTTCTGATTTTAGAATTGTTTCAGACTTTTCTGTGAGCTTGAATACATAACTAAATCTCGACAAAACAAACAAAAGTTCCAACCTGTTTCAAAAACATCAAACATTAACTATTAACCACACTTTAAATTCAAATATTGTGATTAAAAAAATGGATAAACCCTCGCAAAGAGAATTATATTTTTTTCACAATAATATGGTCTGCTTAGTAAAATCTTTGGAAAATCATTATACAGTTGTAGACTTAAGGAACGAAGATAGTGTCTACGGAAAAATTTTAAATGTCGATGGTTATATGAATATAGAGTTTGAAAATGCTATTTATTGTGATTCAAGAGGTAATTTCTTGTTCAGTTATTTTGTGTTATACATGTTCTATTTTGTAGGTATTAAATATCCATTTGAAATGTTTTTTGTACAAGCTAGAAATATTCGCTATGTTCACATCCCTAAAAATTTTGATGCAGTTAATCTAGTTCAAGAGCAGTTAAAGAGCATACAAAAGCAAAAGTCTACACAACGACCAACTAGGACCTTTAAAACTCGTAGAGCAGAAAAATATCAAAAAGATATTCTTCAGGGACTTGCACAAGCAAGTAACAGTAAACAGTGTTGAACTTCTTTGTATGGACATTATATATAATAAAAAAAAATAATAAATTTGAAGAACTTTTATTTCAGTATTCTTTAAAAGGTACAAAAACCTTAAATATAGAAAATATCGAAATTAATTAGAAATGCCCTCTTTGTCTTAAATTTTTGTTTCAACATAAATTTGCATACCACCTCGAAGCCTCAATACCAAATGTAATGTAGATTCCTTCTGAATATTATAATCTGAAAGGGTTCGTCCATCTTCCAACTGTTTCCCGGCAAAAATAAGACGTTGTTGATCTGGTGGGATACCTTCCTTGTCTTGAATTTTGGCTTTGACGTTTTCTATTGTATCAGATGGCTCTACTTCAAGGGTTATAGTTTTACCAGTTAATGTTTTGACGAAGATTTGCATACCACCTCTGAGACGCAAAACTAAATGCAGAGTCGATTCTTTTTGAATATTGTAGTCAGAAAGGGTGCGACCATCTTCTAACTGCTTCCCAGCAAAAATTAGACGTTGTTGGTCTGGAGGAATACCTTCCTTGTCTTGAATTTTAGCTTTAACGTTTTCAATTGTATCAGATGGCTCAACTTCTAGAGTGATGGTCTTTCCAGTAAGAGTCTTTACAAAGATCTGCATTCCTCCTCTCAATCTGAGTACCAAATGGAGAGTGGATTCTTTTTGAATATTATAATCGGAGAGGGTACGACCATCTTCCAGTTGTTTTCCTGCAAAGATTAACCTCTGCTGATCTGGTGGAATGCCTTCTTTGTCTTGAATTTTTGCTTTAACATTCTCAATTGTATCTGATGGTTCAACTTCTAAAGTGATCGTTTTACCAGTGAGGGTCTTCACGAAAATTTGCATACCTCCTCTAAGACGCAAAACTAAATGAAGGGTGGATTCTTTCTGGATGTTGTAATCAGACAATGTCCTACCATCTTCAAGCTGCTTGCCAGCAAAAATTAATCTTTGTTGGTCTGGTGGAATACCCTCTTTATCTTGAATTTTAGCCTTTACGTTCTCTATTGTGTCAGACGGTTCTACCTCAAGGGTGATTGTTTTACCAGTTAGTGTCTTAACAAAAATCTGCATTCCACCTCTAAGACGTAAAACCAAATGGAGGGTACTTTCTTTCTGGATGTTGTAATCAGACAATGTTCTACCATCTTCCAATTGCTTACCAGCAAAAATCAAACGTTGTTGGTCTGGAGNTACAGGTATTATATGGCAAGTAATGATAACACGATAAAATATAAACATTAGGTACTACAAATAATATGGAAGTGTCTCATAGTTATTGTTTAAACACGTTGTTGGTCTGGAGGAATACCTTCTTTGTCCTGGATCTTAGCCTTAACGTTTTCAATTGTGTCTGATGGTTCTACTTCCAGTGTGATGGTTTTTCCAGTTAACGTTTTAACAAAAATTTGCATACCTCCACGAAGACGTAAAACCAAATGGAGGGTACTCTCTTTCTGAATGTTGTAATCAGACAATGTTCTACCATCTTCCAATTGCTTACCAGCAAAAATCAAACGTTGTTGGTCTGGAGGAATACCTTCTTTGTCCTGGATCTTGGCCTTCACATTTTCAATTGTGTCTGACGGTTCTACTTCCAGTGTGATTGTTTTACCAGTTAGTGTCTTAACAAGTTGCTATTATATTTCTTCAATTTGTTTTTTAATTGGTTGCCTTTTTCAAGATCTCTACATGCCAAAACTAATGAGGCTCCTACAACAATTTTATGTTACTAAAACTAAATAATAAAAATTAATCAATTAAATGTACACACCTCTTTCAACTAACAAAAAAGATAAAGCTTTACCAATTCCAGATGTAGGGCCTGTTATTATAATGACTAATCCATCTAATCTTGTAGTACAACGACAAATTCCTCCATAAAAGTACCTGCTAAAATTTTATTATTGCAACCATCTTTTCAATCTTTATATTCACCAAGTATTCACTTACTAAATACCATAAAGGGCAGCACCTGTAAGTACTGTAGAGGCAAGGTATTTTATCATTTGTAAACAATTAACAATTTAGGACAATAATTAGAAAATAGAGTAACAGGAAACACTTTAATACTTTTGTGGACATTTGATTTCTAAAGTGGCATCTATGGAAGAATAAATATTTACCTCTGACGAAAATACAGGTAAATTGAAAGTTTATTGCAATATTTACCTACTTTTAATTTAACGTTTTCATTATATATAAAATTGTAAAATACTTACAAGCATTACAACAGGCAGCTGTTTAATAATAATAATAATATATTCACATATAAATTCACCAAATTCATCGTTATTACATGTACTTACTTTGTTAATAAATAATGATCATAAGAACAAGTTCATCGATACTATACAGGCTTTTTGTGAAAATATGTTTAAAACATAAATAACTTTTTTTATTTCCTACTTTAATCATCATAAGCTAAAAAT